ATGGCAGCGTAGGGCAGATGATGATCTTTTTTTGTGATATTCATTTTTGCGCGTGTGATTTATGAACATCAACATCCATGTTTGCACTCTGAAACAAGCGTGGTTTGACCATAGGCCAGAGGTCTCTATATAAACACTTTCAGTGCTTCAAGAACCGGGACCCAGACTGCGGGAACTGTGGGAACTGCGGGAAGGCCATCGACTTGCGATCTGGGGAACAATGGGGTAATACACCCTGTACCTCAGCTCTGCTGCTCGGCAAAGATATTGGAGAAATGTAACGATGGTAGGATCAGTAACAGCTATAAGATGTTCTTATTAGGAACCTACCACTCGAACTGCGGTTGAAGATGTTGTTTTGATTTGTTTTGGATGTTTGCAATGATTAAGTGATACAGTTTTGCCTCTGGCAATTTGGCTAATGAAACACTGGGCAGGCTTGTGCCGATTCCATCCTGGCGGCGTGTAGCATGTTCCCACAGCATCTGTATATGCATTATGTATTGTTGGACATCTAGGTGCCCTTATCTTATTTTGCTGATTGCAGAAGAAACAAAATAGCTTCGCAATGTGGGTGTCAAAACCCGGACCTCCAAAAACCACGCAATTCCTTCCACCTTATTCTGGACGAGATTTGAGAATCACAGTTTCAAAGAAGCCACAGTCCCCGGGCCGAGGCTCTCTCTTCTGAGAGTGTCATTGCGCTTATCTCGCACCTGGCGCGAGGTTTGAGCTGAGCTCTGGGTATCCCACGGGATCCCATGGTATCCCCATGTCCATAAGGCAAAGGCATGCGGCGCCATGGTTCGGTGGTAATGATAGCCCCAGTAAAGCCATGGGTTTGCCTTGTGGCAGAGCATCAGATCTGGCCTCTTGACGCTGGATGTTGCGATGTGGGGGAAAAGGTCTGCTGCACTGTGCGAAATTCTGCGAAGCCTCGGCCATCAGGGTCAAAACTGCAACTGGTGAAATTGACTGGTTAGATTATCCCAGAATTCTGACTGGTACAATCTGGTACACTTTGCCAAATCCCAGACTCTAGAACGATTTCCCGGATATTTTTGTTGGTTCAAATCGCCAGTTGTTGGTTGCTTGTCCATCCAGGCTTGGCATGTGCTGCGCGGCTACTTTCTGGTGGGCACAATGACTGCCTGGACGCAGGGGGAATTGGGCGGATTTGAGCCCATGACTTTGGGAGTTTCAGGGGGTACAGGGTCTGTGAATCCATTAAAATATGCTTTGGGAAACCATGCAACTCTAAGTTTCGTTCAAGGTCCCATAAATTTCGATATACCCAAACAGAAATACCATGGTATTTCTACTGCCACCGCATTTCTGGAACACAGTTGGAACCTGGACTTGTGCGAAGCCCTGGGTATGTAAATTGAAGCAACACAATAGCAACCGCCAAAAAGATGGAAACACAAAGGGCAAATCTTAATCCAAAGTCCCAACGCCAGGACGGAGGGGCTCAGGATGGAGGAAGAGTCGGAGGGTGTCTATGGATACACGTCACCCGGTTGGGAATGGCTCAATCCAGTGATGACTCGACGATGTTTGTTTGCTTTGGTGGGGGAAGCCCCTCTTGTTGCTGCAATGGTTGATCCGTTTTGCAACTAGAACTTGCAATTTGTAAGTGTATAGCCATGTTTGGACAAATGCCAGGAGCGCTCCCCAAGTTGCTGCAAGATGTAGACATGCTACGGGTCAAAAGCTTCGTACACGGCTGACGACACCTTTGTTTGATTGGCCGGTAAATTGATATTCATCACCTCACAAAGCCGGTCGCATAAGTATTGACCAATCCCTGAACAAATATGTAAATATATGTAAATTATGTAATTTGTACAACAACAAAACATAGATTGTGGGCATTTGAACTTTGAAGCATCCATTTTCATCCATTTTCCCTGTTCATGAACTAACCCATGAGTTCCTGAACATTTGCAGAAAGCAAAGTTTCTCGCAGTGGCACAGCAGGCACTTCAAAATCATAAGTCGATTTCATCAAGTGCAAACAACCATGAAAACGGAAAGTCACCTTGCTGTAGTGTTGATAGCCCTGCATGCCCGCTGGCTGAATACAGGTTTTTCAAGCTTTAGAATAAAAGCGACAGCTCTAATTCACAGGGAAAATGATGGGCGAGAAATTGGAAATCCTTTTCAGTATGGGCATCCACAGGACATCATGAAAAACAGTCGTTATTCACACGACAAAACTCTGGGGTTTTTATTCGTTTCTGAGTGCCGCTCATTTGTATCACTCGTTTTCTGCATGCTCCGGATTCAGTGGCTGTCTGGGGAGGAAATCACTAGAATCACAGACAGGTCGTTCTTGGGTGCCGGAAGCAACTGGATTCAGATTCTGAAGCGACATTTGCACGGCTTGACCGGATTCAGCCGATTCCGGCAGCGGCTGCTCTACGACTCCATCCAGTTGGAAGATGCTGAAATTCCTCCGGATGGTACCTTGCAGCTGGTGATTCTGCCATTGGTGGAGGGCCACTTGGAAGAGCTTTTTCAAATGACAAGGGAAGATGATGTTCAACAGCTGGAAGATCTGCTTCAGCAACAAGTGGATCCCAATTTGATGGAGAATGGACAAACCGCTTTGCATGTTGCTGTCCAGATTGGCAGCAGCCGCTGTTGTTCCCTTCTGATCGAGGCAAGGGCGGACATGCACACGACACGTTTTGATCATCTCTCGCCTTTGCATCTGGCGGTTGAAGAGGATCAACTGGAAGTGCTTCAGGTGTTACTTCACTGGGGAGTGGACAAGGATCAGCCGCTTCCAACTGGTGCGACGCCTTTGTTTCTGGCTGCATCCATGGGTCACCTGGAAATGGTCCGCGCTCTGATCGAAGCTGCTGCAGACATCAACCAACCAATCCACCAAGGTTCCAGCCCATTGTTCACCGCCTGCCGGCAGGGAAGGGTTGACATTTGCCGCTTGTTGCTCCAAGCCCGGGCTGAGATGGAGCGGGCCATCATGGCCAATGGTGCGACCGCATTGATCGTGGCTTCGGCTCGAAATCACCTGGAGATTGTTCGATTGCTGATTGAGGCCGGCGCCAACAAGGAGAACTCCTGCACCGACGGCGCCACGGCCCTGTTTGTTGCGTCGGAGGGAAATTATCTCGAAATTGTCAACTTGCTGGTTCAGGCTGGAGCAGACAAAGACAAAGCTCTTGAGACAACAGGTAAAACACCTTTGATTGTTGCAGCGGAGCAGGGCCAGCTAGAAACTCTTTGCTACCTAATGAAAGCTGGTGCCAATATCCAAAAGAAATCATCGGAAGGTTTGACTGCTTTGGACTTTGCAGTTAGAGGAGGCCATTCGAACATAGTTGAACTGCTGGCTGCCGAAACCACTGCTCAGAGCGAGAGCGGTGCTGGCCAGCTAGATGTGAAAAAGGGGAGCCGATGCATTCAATTCACCTGGGTTTGTTCAAACATATGGTTTATAGATGCTTCTAGATGTTGATAGACGTTTATAGATGTTTATAGATGTTTATAGATGTTTATATAGTTTATTCATGTTTATTCCATAAATTTTCCATATGAATGGAACATTGGAATATTCTTGGAATTGGGGGCAGCCCATTTTCAGAGCCATGGCACCGAGGCTAACAATGGGGGACAACAACTGGGAGAAGTTCCAGGCTCGAGTGGGAGAAGTAGGACTTCTTCAGAAGTTACTGTCCAATGGAAGATAACTCAGGTATGTGTGGGGATATGTAGAATTATATTTAACTTAAATATACGTATATATGTGTACTGTATACTTCTCTCTGGCGACTAGATAGGCCAGATAGGCCAAAGCCACAGAATAAATGTTTGTTTGTTTTTTTTGAACCAATTATGACTGCAGATTGATTCAGCACTTCAAACACCTATCAGCTTAGCATTTCTGCGTGGGATGAGTTGCTGTTGTGTCAGATCTGGATCGATGAAGATCCTGACAAGGCTGGGAAGTGTAGCATTCCGGGCTGAAAAGAGAGAAATTCGCATCAAAGAACCACTCATTTCAGGTCATGGTCAGGCGGGATATTCTTTCCAGGCCTATCCTGTAGGATGTTAGCAACTGTTAGCATTGTTATAGCTATACACATTTTTATATAGATAGAATATGATAGAATACATAGCTGCAGTCGAAAAACAGTTTCCATGGATTTTTCATGATTTTCATGTTGAACATTCCATGGTCCAATGATGTCAGGTACTTCACCCGCAGTATTCTGATGAAGGCTCCGAGTCGATCATCCAAGGTCCAGCAGGAGACGTGCCACAGGTCCGGAAGCTGAGAGATTTGGGCAGCAGATTTTCTTTGGTGGTTTTAAATGCCACTAAAGAATTTCCCAGATTTCCCAGATGTTTTAGTGACTAGCAGATTTCACTTTGGTGGAAAAAGATGTTTTAGTCTTTAGTCACTCATTTTTCCCTTTCCATGACACCATGAATTATCTGAGATGATGGGCCCCCTCTTGACTCAGATTTCTGCTAAAAACCCAGGCGCTGTGCTGGAAAATCTCTGGGACAAGAGAGGAGGTGCGGCTTTTTTACTTTGGCTTCCCTCGCCTGCAGGGAGAAGCCCAACTCCCAAGAATGATGTCTGGGTAAATTATAACGACCTCACTGTTCTCCCTCACTGGAATAATGGTTAGTAAGGGAAATCATCCCCAAATGGCCTTAATTCAGGTTAGTGAAATATTATAATTTACCCAGATGTGGGATCGAACTCCAAGCCATGTCAGGTGCGCTTTGTGAATGAAGTGCAGTTTGAAGCCCTGGAAAAGAGTGGAACACCAGTGCAGGACCCTGGAGTTGGGGCAGATCTTCAAAAAAGAATGACGATGTACTTTCCCTCCACACAAATTCCATTGAAAAGGTATGATCTCTTTGTTTTATGTTGTTGTTTCTATGTACATATATAATATACATATATATATAGATATACATAGGTATCTGCATATAATATATACACAAGGTATTAATGATTATATATACAAATGATATGATAAAGAAATACACACATATATATATATATATATATGGTGCAGCTACCTATACTACCAACATGACATGGCGCTCCCTGACCAGGGACCTGAGTGCTTGGTGGCCTTTGGTAGAGACTATGCGTGGAAGCCCGGGGAGCTTTCTGTCGGGGCAGGAAGTTGAGGGATTTCACTGACAAGTTCATGGAGATGTAGATATATAATGATATGTATATATATATATATGTATATATATATATATATATGTATATATATATATATGTATATATATATATATGTATATATATATGTATATATATATATGTATATATATATATATATTACATACACCATATACTACCTTGAGCAACTATATCTCTCTATATATATAATACAGAGTATAACTATATCTAGAACTGAGAATATCTGGGTGGAATATGGGTTTCTATCAACCGATTTTCATCGTTCTTCCTGTTTCGGAATGATGATCCCTGCATGTTTGCTGCCTCAGGTGCCTCCCAACACAGAGAATGACATCATGAAGATGCCAGTGGGGCTGGCCTGTAGCCGCCAGTACCATCCTCCGGTGACAGATGCGTAGCATGCCATGGCATGGCAGGTGGTGAACCTGAATGCGGGCTTGGAAGGGCAGCCTGGAGACAAGTTGGGGATCTCAGCGCATCTCCAGTACCCTCTGCAAAAATCTGGCAGTTCAACTCGATCTACGCTGAAGGTACCGAATACGCCTATATGTCCAGGGAGCGTGCCCGATGTCTTGAGGGCTGATGGAGTGATGTAAATGGACACACTGATCCACACCGCACCGGGCATCTTTCGCTATACCATGCTATACCTCATACATATATAGACGTACTTGATGTTGATTCACCGAATCAATCCTGACCTCAGTGTCCATTAGGTCCATTAGGAAATTCCTGGGTGTTGATTGATTTGTAGGTTAAAATCCCACTTTCGTCCGTCAAATCATCAGTTCACCCCCTCATCTTGAAGTGGTTCAGCTAGATTTAGTTGGCTTGAATTCCCATTTTCCATGGGGATACTACCATATTCTGATGATTTCCTACTCGTATTTTTAGCCACGGTTGTTGATGATGTCATCATTTTATGATTTCATCATTTCATCGATAGACATCTATCTATATACTTATTGATGACATTTACCCAATTCAATTCAATCATGTCTCCCCGAATAAGTGTTGGACATATTTTGACATCATTTATCTCTCAATTTTCCTTCAATTGTTCCCAAATCCCAGAATTTAATCAATCATTTCATCATTTAATCCAAAGATATTTATACTCATTGATGTTATTTACCCGATGTTTTCCACAGTTTTCCCCAATATTTCTGGTGACCGATAAACCAGGTACAAACGACTTGAATGGTCGAAGGCCAAGGGCGTGGATGCTGTGGCTCCCCTTGGCCGAAGGTGCGGGTTGGGGATGGCTGATGTCTCACAATGATACCTTCGGGCAATGGCTGACATAGCTATTGAGGATAGCACATTTATAGTTGACTTACCATGACTTACCTATTTAAAATGGTGATTTTTTTCATAGCTATGTTAGTTTACCAGAGGGTAACGTAGATGTAGAAAACCCTACATTTTTCGCTTCGGAAAAATGATCTACACATGTGGGTTTTCCATCGAACTGTTAGTTACAGGAGGGCATGTGTGAGTATATGTATTTGGATGAATTATAGTCACCTCACTGCGACCTCACTGTAATGATGATTAGTAAGGGGAATTATCCCAATATAGGCCTTATTTCAGATTAGTGAATCATTTTAGTTTACCCAAATGTTTATAGAATATGTAATATAACAAACACAAGACTAATAGTAATGATGATGTATAAAATTATCTACACATGTGGGTTTTCCATCGAACTGTTAGTTTACAGGAGGGCATGTGTGAGTATATGTATTTGGATGAATTATAGTCACCTCACTGCGACCTCACTGTAATGATGATTAGTAAGGGGAATTATCCCAATATAGGCCTTATTTCAGATTAGTGAATCATTTTAGTTTACCCAAATGTAATATAACAAACACAAGCCTAATAGTAATGATGATGTATAAAATGATCTACACATGTGGGTTTTCCATCGAACTGTTAGTTTACAGGAGGGCATGTGTGAGTATATGTATTTGTATGAATTATAGTCACCTCACTGCGACCTCACTGTAATGATGATGAGTAAGGGGAATTATCCCAATATAGGCCTTATTTCAGATTAGTGAATCATTTTAGTTTACCCACATGTTTATAGAATATGTAATATAACAAACACAAGCCTAATAGTAATGATGATGTATAATATATCATATAATATATATATATAATAATGATTCAATAGAACATGTCATGTATCAGGTTCAAAATTAGTATTATGTATATATAGACTACATCTGTAATATATGGTCATATATCTATGACATCAATATATGCTATAGACATGGTCCACATTCTCCAAAGGACAACTGCGCTGCCAGGAAATTCCAGCACACGTTTTCCGTGATTGGCCGGCAGCCCCAGGTGTCTGCAACGTCGTTGGACATGACACCCTTGAAGGACGGAGGGTCTATGATGGTTACACAGAATGACACATGACTCATTTTTGTTACCCCATGAAAAACCCAAGACCTTTAGTTAAATTTAAATACTAAGAATAATGGGCTAACAAGTTAACAATATTGTTATTGGTTAAATCCGAGCAATGCCAACCACAATTGTAGGTCATGGGTGCCCCGTGAGCTGCTCAGGTGATCACAGTCATTGGTTCTTTGAAGAGATGAAGGTCTCAAACTGAGTTTCAGATAGCCGTTGCAGATTGGATGCTGGTTGGTGGTTTAAAACATTTTTTATTTTCCATAATATATGGGATAATCCTTCCCATTGACTATATAATATTTTCAAGATGGTTATTGCACCACCAACCAGGATGGATTTCACGTGGATTTCACGATGGGAAATGGGGATTTCACCGAACCATCGAAAGTCAGATGGGGATTTCGACCATCAACGATTCGGGGGATGTTCAATCGATGACCCCCAATATTTTGGGGCTAAAAACCAGGGTTTCCGGTTTCGATTGTCCCTAGAAATCCATTGATGTATGGCTGTCGATGGAGCAGGAAGTGACGAAGGGTGTCTACTCCTTGGAGGCGAGGGAGAAATCAAGTGAGTCTTGAACTGAATATCTCTCCAGGTTTTCGGGTAAGGCATGCATATGCATAGATATAATGCATAGATACAATGCATACATGTGTATGTATTAGAAAATACTCTCTATCTGTACATAGAAGTTCTTCTATGGCTTTGTCCAGAAATGGCGCCCCTTCCGCCCCAAAATATCGCCAGAAAAGTGGGAAAATGAGTAGCCCCCCCAGGTTTTTAGAGGAATCTGGATTTTGAGTCAGCTGGAGACTGTGGCGAAGGTTCAAATTCTCAAGAGCCCGAGCAACTTCCAGATCTACCGCGACCGTGCTGCTGTCATGGCTTGTAACCAGTGATACCAGTGGTTGGCACAGAAACCCCTGGTGACCGACAGCAGGTTGTTGGTGATTCAGGGATGGACCATAACAGCAGTTCTAGAAGAGACTTTTGAAAGCGACTTGGCACTTTTTGAGAGGTGATTTTGATCAAGGCTTCTATCCAGATGACGTTTGTGCCTCAATCATCAGCATCGCCCAAGTTCGAAGCGTTGCTCCCAAACAAATCTGAAAAATTATTCTGCTCGATCCCTCAAAGATGCCCCCTCGATTAGATTCGATTAGGTCATAGGTGACACTTACACTTCTTTTTTTTGTAACTTCAAGAAAATCTCCAGGATTTTGCCCCTTTTTTGGTATCCACTGGAGGCTGGCGAAATTCTGGGCCCAGATGGCTGTGGTCATGGGCTCCACTGGAAGCTGCAGGGGGAGGCCTTCCGATTGCACCGATTGCGCTCGGGTCGCCATGGCGAAAATGGAATAGAAAATGGAATGGGATGGGATGGAATTTAAGGGGGGTTAACTAGATTTAAAATATATGGGTTTTAACATGTTTTAACGGGAAAATCATTTAGACATGGAGCTTTCAATGGGACATTTATCCAAAGAATGGACGTTTATAACTGGGAAAGCCACACACTCTATATTATGGGTGTTTACATGAGAAAATCATTGAACTAAATGGGCGATTGTCCATTGCCAATATTTGCCAATGGAGGTGAAAGCTGAGAAAGTCGTGGAACTACCAGCGGGTACCATTTTTGGAGGATGGGGGTATTTCGAATCTCTGACTGTCCCAGAATGGGCTCCAGCTTAGGATCTTTTTTTCTACAGGGTACAACTTCGTACAGTACTACTTCTATCTGATTTTCCCAACTCAATTGGGATCATAATTTGCAAATCCATTTGTTGTTCAGTTTGGTCACATTTGATTGGCACGGGGATACTGATACTATACTATACGATAGACATCTATATAGACTATAGTGCACTTTACATCTTGCACCACTCCGACAACTGTTTTTTTTCATGTTCTTTCTAAGGTTTACATGGCGGGTCAAACTCCTTGCGGACCTCATGGTGAAAACATTTCAAACAATGAAGACCACCAAACGCCAAGCCAAAAGCATCAAGACACCGGGATTCTAGACTTGTTGAGCTTGGATCTATACCTATCTGGAGGTTTCCTAAAATAGGGGTACCCTCAGTTATCATTCTTTTTTGTTCGGGATTTTCCATTATAAATTAGAAAAACCATCCATTTCTCCAATGTCCAGCAACGCCTGAAGGGGCCACCTCATAGGTGGGAGATGTCTTCCAGATCACCTTCGAACGGCAAGTGCACCGGAAGGAGGAGTCCTTAGGGGATGGTTCTTTGCGAAAGACGTGATTTTTTGGATAGAAAATAAGATTATATATCTATCGCATATATGGCACATATATACGTATATATGACTATATATATATGATTAAATTATATATATATGACTATATATATGATTATATATATATATATTATTATATGAGTATATATGATTGTATATGTATATACCAGAGTTCAATGGGATTCCAATTGGGACCATCACACGACGTTATGATACTTTATGACTCTATATTCTGGGAATTCCTGCGAATCCAGAGTTCCATTGGGATTTGCGCTAAAGATGTTTCGTGTGTGCATAGCATATATCTATCATTCCACTACGATTGGGCAAAAAACATACACACACCTTAGCCATACCTACGGAGTTCCATGCGGCAATCCGCATGTTTTTACCATAGACCTCCCAGGGAGTATGGGAATTCACTGCTCAGTTTGTGAGGGATTTAGTAAATCAAGTCTTTTGGACCATGGACTGACCATTCATCCTGATGGGAATGAAGTGCCATCATTTTAGTGAACATTGTGGGATTCGGGAAGCGTCAAATGAGGATCTTGATAGACATATTGGACTTTTGGGGGGAATTGGTCAAAGTGAGCAATCTTGTGGGTCCGGGATGCTGTGGAAGGATGGATTTTCGTTTTGCAGTGTTGTAGAACTCTTTGTTTCATGATGATCCAGTATTTTCAGCACATCTTGGAACCTTTGACACCTGTGTACCGTAGCAGGAGGCTTTGACATGGCTCAAAAGGCAGGTAGGTGGACATGCTCTGTTAAGCCAATATCATGCGCAGGACAAGAAGAGTATCAGTTTCGTACTCAGCATTGGATTCCATTCAGACAGCTTTCAGGTTGTTGCTTGGGCTTGGTGATCTTCCATCACTCTGAAGCTTGCAGTTGCTTTTTCCTTGCTTGAATGTCAGTTGGGGTACCTCTGAATCCATTGGTTAATCATCATGTTCCTATCAAAAAGTACCATTTGGGGGTATACACCATTTTCAGACAGACCCAGTTTTCAAGGTCATCATTTCCAGCGTGTTTTATCTGCAGACGCGGTTGTCACCCTCTTTTTTCGTGATTTCCGCCGGTCACGACTCAACAAGATGAAGAAAAGCAGATCGCATCATGGCGCGACATGGCCTCCAGATGGCCCCGTTGAAAATCGTTGAAAACTTGCCAAACTGGACATACATTGCTTCGAGGTTGGCAGCATGTGGGATCCAAGCCGGTGGACTTCGAGGTAGGATGCAGGGGATCCATTGCATTCATCCGTGTGCCGAGTTTCTCCAGGAACGCGCCAAGGACCACAACTACTACATAGCGGCTTGGCTGTTTCGTGTTGCCGCTCTTTCCAGTTGTGTTGTTCACTTCTTTGACGAGATCGGCCGTAAGATATTGTAAGATATTGTAAGTAGATTTTTGCACTTCTCATTACTGGCCAAATGTCGAAAGAGTTTGGGGATGATCCCGATTGCAACCCTGATATAGGGGACTTCTAGCAAATTTCAGAGTGAGTTGGGGGCCAAGAGATTGAGGAAGGGGCACTCTGGACTCCGGACTGAGCGACTAGAGTTTTCATGAGTTTTCTTTCAGTTGTGCGGGGTGTCTCTTGCAATGAGGCAGGGTCTTGGAACGACTTCAAAGACTGCAAGGTGCACATCTCGGTTTTCCCAAATCCTGTTCTTACCCTCTGGTAACAAACATAGCTATTGAAAATGGCCATTTATAGTGGATTTTCCCATTAAACATGGTGATTTTCTATAGTTACGTTAGTTTACCAGAGGGTAATTGGTTTGAATGCAACCCGCAGGGCTTCATAACTCTCTGGCCTTGCTTATTTCCTGAGCACCTCGCACTCTGAATCCTGGATTCTGCAATATCTGCAATGTATCTCTGTGCTTTGTTTGCTGTAAAACTTTGACATAGATATTTAATATTGACATCATTGGAGTGACCCAGAATTATTGACTCCGCCAATTGAATATGATTTGCTATGATTTGATCTCAAGATGTGGGGTCCATTTAAGCAACGCATTTCTTTTTTGTAAATAGAAATGCCCACGTAGAAACGCCATGCCGTCAGGCAATGAAAAAAGAAGTGGATGAGAACGGCATGGTGAGCTTCCATCAGGAGAGCAGCGGATGGAATGATGGGGTTACCATGGGTTACCCGGTACGGCGTCAACGATGGCAAGCTGGGAAATCGTATACAAATGGTTTTTGATGGGGAAAATCATGAAAATCATCGAAATAAATGGGAGATTCTCCATTGCTATGTTGAATTACCAGAGTCCATACCGTTCGGTTTAATTGGGGAATGTGAGTATGGGGACAATTATGACCGATTGTGGGCATGGCTGAATGTGATTTCTGGAGTACAGCTCGACTTGAATTATAGAAGCGATAGCTTAAGTTTTTTTCAAAACCACCCATAGAGAATCGAAGAACATGGTAACGCTACTGTCTTGCGGGTACCCGGGTACCCGCCGGGTACATGGATCAATCAACCTGCAGAATCAACCCTTGTGGATGACCATGGATGGTCCTTTCCGGATTACGCAATGAGGTTACCAGTCAAGCAGGTGTCCCGACTTTCAGATATTATGGAGAAACACATGAAATCAACAACCTTGGTAGATGTTGCATTTATGTGAAAGCACATAGAATAATTATATAATATTTTACATACATACATGAAACAAACAATGACAAACAAATAAATAGATGGATAGATGTGTAGATAATGAAGTAAACAATACATTTTTACACAATTCAATAATATAAATGCTAGCGCAAAACTCTTTCCAAAGTCATATCTCACCGCGCTTCGCCGCCAGGAGATCATCATTGGCAAGAGTGGCACAGAAGCGATGCAGATCTTGTTAGACCGGAATTGGCTGGTCGAAATCTCAGTGTTCGGCGAATGTGTCCCGTGGGCAGCTGAGACGTGGGCGGAGCCCCAGCCACCGGCAGGCTGCTGTTCACCCGGATCGTGACCAAGCCACACAGGAGACCCATATTATGGGGAGCCGCTGAGAAATCCCCGAATTGTGCATTCAAATATGTATATATATATATACATGTATAATATTAATATATGTATATATAAATGTATATATATATATGTATATATATATACACATATATATATATATATGTATGTATGTATGTAATGTAATGTAATGTAATGTATTGTAATGTCATGTCATGTCATGTCATGTAATGTAATGTCATGTCATGTCATGTAATGTAATGTATGTATGTATGTATGTGTGTGTGTATGTATGTATGTATGTATGTAATGTAATGTAATGTAATGTAATGTAATGTAATGTAATGTAATGTAATGTAATGTAATGTATGTATGTATGTATGTATATGTACATATATATATATATACATTATTTGAATATGTTTGAATCTATTTAAATGGGAAAACACATCGAACTAAATTTTCCAGCCTGCCATGTTTGATTCAGGGTAAGTCGAAACGCAACTTAGCATTTCCACTCGACCGCATGGCCGCAGAACGATGGCCATGATATCCAGGGACCTGACGATGGAGGTCTGATCTGGCTGTTTGGGTGGAGCTTAGTATTGCAGTGCATTCAGTGTATATTTGCATATAATTATATATACAAATTATATATATAATTATATATGCATACTGTATTCAAATTCGTACATCATTGCAATATACTGTTTCTTTTGTAGACATGTCATTGCAATGTATTTTCAATTATATGTATATATAACTATATATGCGTAAATTGCAGTGACCTCACTGTGACCTCACTGGAATCATGGTTAGGTTTTGGGGAAATCATAGTATCTAAATGTATTTAAATTATATATATATAGAGTGACAGGGTTGCAGTATGTCGCGTTTGTGGTAACCAAACAATCGTCACGTCACCGTCCCATGACTTTCCCATGGGTCAGTCGTTCAGGTGCTGGGAAGTACTGGGCCATTGGAGCTGATCCACAAGATGATCTCGCGCCAGGCTGGAGGGCAGGATGAATTTCCCCCCAAAAATGGGAGGGGTTGGACGTCTTTTGGAGCTTAGATTGGTATTATTTTGATTAGATGATTAGTGGTCAACCCGCAAAAAGGTGCTGTAAATGTATGGACGTGCAAGAAACATCATGATGCAACTGGTGGATTTGAATATCGATGTCAGCGAATACGCCACTTGCAATAGCCTTCACACATCGATAGCGGATCTTCAAAGCTTGCATTCTCTGCAGGGGTCAACATGCAAATGAACCCTGGCTTGCCCCCAAGGTGACCATGTGAACGTCCACATGGAGATGTCGGGCGGCCTCCCCAAACGGCTCTGGTGGGAGAAGTACGACTCCCCAAATGTCACGGCCCGAGAAATGGCAGCCGTGGTACATCCCATACTTTTTAAACAACAGCATGTCTAGTGATTTTTTTTGCCTGCAGTTCAAACTTATTGACCCCCAAAATGGGTTCTTCCAGTAGAACATATACTGTATATACATACACATGTTTGATCCATACCCATTTGACATTGGCTCCAGTGGCCTTCTGTGTTTGGCTGAGATCCACTTCGAGTATCTCAAAGCCGGATCTCAGCGTGTTTTTGAGAGGCGAGATGGACTTTTTGACCAAGCATAGGATTTGAAGATGTGAAGGGATTTTACTCCCTTGCCAAACTTGAAGGGGGAAAAAGCCTAAAAATATCCTTAGTCAAGCGCAAAAAGCCTTGCACTCATTTTGAAACGTATCCTTAGTCAAGCTGAAACAGAGCAGTTTTTTTGTCCCGTTTGATGTCAGGCATATGCGACTCATGGGTCTGATTCCGTGGAAATCCAAAGATCAGTGGGGCAGCCCAGCTGATCCCAGCGCAGCGTAGTTGGTAGCCTGGTGGAACCGCCTAAGGCCAGCTCGTTTGGTGGAACCGCCAGAGTGGTATGGCAATGGCCGTGACCGAGAGGCGCGCCCTGGGGAAGTGGAGTTCCAAAATCTTCCAGCCAATCCAATCCGACTCTGAATGGTTATATATAACATGTTTTAACTCGCAGTCTGATTCACATTGTTGGTCAAACATCATCTTTGAACTTTTTCTTGTTGTCAAAA